CGTGCCTCCTTTGTTTTTATGAATTTATGTGTGTCTTTCTTTTAGCTTCTTTCTTTCTCTCTGCCTCTCTCTCTTACACGCTGTCTCTATCTCTCTTTCTCTTTCTCTGTCTTTTTTCTGTCACTTTCGGTGTATATATATATATATATATATATATATATATATATATATATATATATATATATATATATATATATATATATATATATATATATATATATAAGTGACAGAAACAAACAGAGCAAGAAAAAGGGACACACACACACACACACATACACACACACACACACAAACACACACATATATATATATATATACAAACACACACATACACATATATATACAAACACACACATACACATATATATACAAACACACACATACACATATATATACAAACACACACATACACATATATATACACACACACATACACACACACATACACATATATATACAAACACACACACACACACACATACACATATATATACAAACACACACATACACATATATATACACACACACATACACACACATACACACACACACACATATACACATACACACACACACGCACTTACACATATATATACAAACACACACACATATATATACAAACACACACACACACACACATACACACACACACACCACACACACACACACACACACACACACACACACACACACACACACACACACACACACACACACATACACACACACACACACACACACACACATATATGTACACACTCATCCACGCACATAAACACACACATAGACAAACAAACGTATTATACATAAACAAACAAACGTATTATACATAAACAAACAAACACATTATACATTATGCAGCAAACACATTATGCAGCAATAGTAACAGCAACAGTAATGATGACGATGATAATAATAATAATTATAACAATCATGATAATGATAATGATAAAGATAATGATAATAATAGGAATGGTAATAATGATAATAATAATGTTAATAATAATGATGATGATAATGATGATAATGATGATGATGATGATAACAACGATAATAATAATGATAATGATGATGATAATGTTAGAGATAATAATAATGGTGATGATGATGATAATAATAATAATGATAATAATAATAATAATAATAATAATAATAATAATAATAATAATAATAATGATAATAATAATAATAATAATAGTAATAGTAATAGTAGTAGTAGTAATAATATTGATAATAATAATAATGATAATAATAATAATAATAATAATAATAACAATAATAATAATAGTAATGTAATAATGATAATGATAATAATAATTATAATGATAATTATGAGGATGACGATGACGATGATGATAATAACAATAAGGATAAAAAACAATGATAGAAATACATTTTTATAACAACAAAAAAATGATTCATTAATATCATTAGTATTATCATGATAAATGGATGAATACATAGACAAATAAACAGACATATAAACACACAAAATTATTAAAAAAAGCAACACCTTTGCAGATACAGTAAAGTCCAGGCCACGTGCACCAGGCAAGAAGAAAACCATTAAATTAAGGAACTCGCATGTAAACCCCTAGTAATCTAACTCACGGGGGAGGGAGCGAGGGGAGGGGAGGGGGGGAAGATAACGGGTATTTGCGCAAATAACAGCTGGGAGTGGTATTTTAAAGGTGGATATTGAAAATGGATTGTCAAGGGAACACAGTGCTATGGGCCAGGGGGTGGGAGGGTGTCTAATTGCGTATTTATCTGTAATGAAGTGGTAGATAGGTAGGAAGATAGATGGGTAGGTAGGTAGGTAGGTAGGTAAGTAGGTAGATAGATGGGTAGGTAGGTAGAGAAAGAAAGAGAGAGAGAGAGAGAGAGAGAGAGAGAGAGAGAGAGAGAGAGAGAGAGAGAGAGAGAGAGAGAGAGAGAGAGATAGAGAGCGAGAAAGAAAGACATAAAGTATATACATATAGTTATAAATATACATATACATATACATATTCCTGTAATTCTATATAACACCCCTTACTCGTCGATATAGTTATAAAAAGAAAGCTCTGAGTCATAATGACCTTTATCAACAAATAAACCTACAGTTCATGACAGGCTTCAAGCGCTTTACCAAAATACTGTCTGATTACATAAGTCTACCATGACAGGACTACATACACGCACGTTCAAGAAGCCCTGATATACATTACGTGAGGATTCCTAAGCACAGCTGTGGTCTCTTTTTAGTAAGGTGAGAAAAGCCTCGGATGTCTTTGTAAGAAGAAAAAGAGAGAGAGAGAGAGAGAGAGAGAGAGAGAGAGGGAGAGAGAGAGAGAGAGAGAGAGAGAGAGAGAGAGAGAGAGAGAGAGAGAAAAGAGAGACAGACAGACAGACAGACAGAGAGAAAGAGAGACAGACAGACATACATACATACATACATACAGACAGACAGACAGACCGAGATCTTCTCATGCTAACACGATTGTAGATGCCACGCAAAATAACGCACGGTAGAAAGATAGATAGATAGGGGGCAAAAGGTGAT